ACTATTTCTGGCCTGAAAACGTGAACTGTCGGGAATGGGTTCCGAATAATACATGGTACGGCGATAATGGACATGAAGGTAACGGACAGTAATATATGTCTTGCAATTTATACATACTGATTCTTGTAATGTCATTATCTCGTGTCATTACATGGAATATTCGTGGTGTTACGAACTGTTTGTCGGAACTCAAGTATAAACTGGATAGCTGTGATATACTGTTCCTAAGTGAACACTGGCTGAATGACAATCAGAAACCAATTCTAACTGATCTTCATGACGACTTCCATGTGTGTGTCAAATGCCAGCAGAACCATTCTTCACCTAGAGGAGCTGGTGGAGTTGCATTGTTCATCAGGAAGCAAGATAGTTGTAGTGTCTCGGTATTAAATATACCGAACAGTGAACACATCATTGGTGTTAAGATGACTAAATGTGGCATTCCAGTGTACATAGTTGGTGTGCGACTTCCATCGTCTAATGTCATGGACACTGTCTACGCAGAAGAACTCCATAATGCTATGGATGTATACGATACCTGCTCATATCATGGACAAACTGTAATACTTGGTGATTTTAATACTGACCTTCGGACTCTCCCAGCATTAAACTCTCGAGCTAAGTGTTTGCAGAGAGCTTTGAAGGAACGTGACCTAATCTCGATTGTACCACTGGACAATCAAAATGCTTACACCTACACTAGTAAATGTAGACAGGTTAAAACTATGATCGATTATGTTTTTGTTAACACTGATTGTAGAAGTAGCATTGTTGGCTATGATATTGACTATTCCATCCCGTACTCTGTCTCAGATCACTACCCTATACTTATTTGTATGCATGTAACTGATGATGTACGTCAAGATCACTATGGGGGTGAAAAGTTAAACTGGCGAAAGGCCAACAGCATTGATCTGATGCTTTATCGCTATGAGACTGAAAATTATTTCAGAAATGTCAGTTTAGATATAGCTGATTACAACACACCAGAGGAGTATGTTGAAGCCTACCATAATTTCATCCTTGATTCATTACATGCTTCAGCCAATATCAGTATTCCTGCTTCAAAATTTCAATCCCATTTAAAACCCTACTGGAAGAGGGATAATTTAAAGCCATGCCATAACGATATGCGACACGCACGTAAAGAATGGGTCCATATGGGTAAGCCACGAAATAAGGACGATGTTCACTACGTAAAATATAAGCAGGCTAAGAGAATCTTTCGAAAAAAACATCGCCGATCAAAACGTAAACTTCAAGATGAAAAGTTCAGGGACATCTATGAAGCAGCCGAAGTTGATATTCAGGAATATACCAGGGTTACAAAAAAGTACAAACGCAATAAAGAACGAGTTAAAACCCTTGTGTACGAGAACGAGACCTGTGACGCTCCAGAAAGTATCTGTAACCTATTTGCTAAGTACTTTAGGGATCTCTCCCAGCCGTATGAAGATATCAATTTTGATCAAGATTTTACCTGTCTTGTTAATAGTGTTATTGAAGATCTTGTCACAAGACAAGACGTTGATGACTGTAATGACACCAGTATGAATCTTTTATGTCCATTTACTGGTGATGAACTATTGAAAACTGTAAAATCATTGAAGACGGGTAAATCCCCAGGCCCGGATCATATTGTAAATGAGCATGTTAAATTTAGTGGAAGATCACTCATCAACCACCTTCTTACGTTTTATAATGATATTGTTTCTTATGAATATGTTCCTAAGTTGTTTAGTGTGGGGAATATACTTCCAATCCACAAAGGCCATGGTAAAAGTAAGGATAACCCTTCTAATTACAGAGGCATCACACTTACTCCAGTTTTAGGTAAACTTTTTTGAAAGATTACTTTTGAATAGAATCGAAAGCTGGGCAACAGAAGTAAAGAATTTTCCTCACCCTTTTCAGTTTGGTTTTAGAAAAGGTGCTGGAGCAGAGACCGCATTATTTACGCTCCAAGAAACTATTGCTTACTACAATGAAAGAGAAACGCCAGTATACTGTGCATTTGTCGATAATGAAAAAGCATTCGACCGGGTTTGGCTTAATGGTCTTTTCCTAAAACTGCACAACTTTGGAATTAAAGGTAAAATGTGGAGACTTTTATACATACTTTCTTCATCAATGAAATCACGTATTAGCATTGGCGGACATATTTCGGATACCTTTGAAATACGTCAGGGTGTTGGGCAAGGACGGGTCCAATCGGCTTGGTTGTTTACACTGTACATTAACGATCTGTTAAATGCTGCTGATAATTCAGGAAGAGGCTTAAACCTGCCCTGGGCCACTACCCCTGGTATCCTACTTGCAGATGATACAACCCTATTAAGTTGTACACCCGATGGTCTTCAATGTTTATTGAATGTTATATCTGATTATGCAAAAACATGGCACCTTAGGTTTAATGCTAGTAAAAGTGCCTTCCTTCTGTTTGGTGATTATCATAAACACGAATGCCCAGAGCTATTTTTGGGTGATCATGTTATTAACCGCAAAACCGATGTCGTATATGCGGGCCTGTACATAAACACCGCTAAATCTACCCTTAATCGTACTGTTTTAATATGTGAAAAGCTTAGAAAGCTAGTCAATGTTAACCACAGTCATGGATTGTATTTTGGTGGTCTTCACCCTATGCATGCTGTACGCATATGGGAACGTATTGTACTACCCTGTGGTCTATTTGCCTGTAATATGTGGTGTAACATATCAACTAAAAGAATACGATATGCTTGAATGTGTGCAAAAGTACTTCTGTAAAAAGTACAAGGGTTCTCTAAACGCACGTGCTCGGTCATTGCCAGAGACTGTCTTGGACTTGTATCACTACGTGCGTATATTGATCAGAGAGCATTATTGTTCCTGGGAAGACTGCTTAACACTGATATTAGTTTCATTTTCAAACGAATTCTTCACTATAGATTAGCTCAACATGATTGTAAGGATAGTATGCAAAAATGCTGAAGTGTAAATCCTCTCCTTTACACCATATGTTATATCTTACCTGTAAATATGATCTTACTGAATATGTTGACATTTATCGTAACTCATCTGTATTTGTTACCAAAATCAATGGTCAAATCTTGTAAGAGATAAAGTCTCAAAATTTGAAGCAAATGTCGTTACCTCTGAGCTTAACTACAGAGTCAATCTCCACAGATACGCTCTCCTACGCAATCCAGCTGCTAGTAACAAACTTTGGTTAATAGCTCTTAATGATTCAGATTATTTCTATGACATATCCTACCTCATCCGTGTCGGCACTTTCGCTATACAATCTAAAGAATGCTTATGTGGCACATATGCCTATGACGTTGTAAAACATGTATTTCTCTTTTGTCCACAAACGGAATGTAACAGAGAGCGACTACTTAGCTCCCTCATTGATCTATTGGATGTTACAACCTTTGTAAGTGTTTGGAATGATGATGATGATGCACTGATTAGTTTTCTACTTGGAGGAGTGCCAAATGACAACATTAGAGATCTTGATACTGATCTATGGATTCAATGTATGAAAATCACGAGTAAAGCTGTTCATGAATGGAAACGGTTTTTCATCACATGTTACTAGATTTACACACACACACACACACACACACACACACACCCATATATACATATCTTTAAATGTTTTTGTATTGTATAACTTTCAAACACTTGTACCTTGTAAAATGTAATATCTGCTAAATCATGCATATGTATCTTCAATTTTGGAGGAAATAAAGACGATCTATCAATGTATAACACAAATCAAGACACAAAGGATGTTTAACGGGATAGCAATGAATGTCACGATGGATGAGACAATGGAAACTACAATGTATAACACAAATCAAGACACAAAGGATGTTTAACGGGATAGCAATGAATGTCACGATGGATGAGACAAGGGGAACTACATTGTATAACACAAATCAAGACAGAGGGTGTTTAACGGGATGATAATGAATGTCACGATGGATGAGACAATGGGAACTACAATGTATAACACAAATCAAGACACAGGGGATGTTAAACAGGATAGCAATGAATGTCACGATGGATGAGACAATGGAAACTACAATGTATAACACAAATCAAGACACGGAGGATGATAAACAGGATAGCAATGAATGTCACGATGGATGAGACAATGGGAACTACAATGTATAACACAAATCAAGACACAGAGGGTGTTTAACGGGATGATAATGAAGGTCACGATGGATAAGACAATGGAAACTACAATGTATAACACAAATCAAGACACGGAGGATGATAAACAGGAAAACAATGAATGTCACGATGGATGAGACAATGGGAACTACAATGTACAACACAAATCAAGACACAGAGGGTGTTTAACTGGATGATAATGAAGGTCACGATGGATAAGACAATAGAATCTACAATTAATAACACAAATCAAGACACAGAGGATGCTAAACGGGATAGCAATGAATGTCACGATGGATAAGACAATGGAAACTACAATGTATAACACAAATCAAGACACGGAGGATGATAAACGGGATAGCAATGAATGTCACGATGGATGAGACAATGGAAACTACAATGTACAACACAAATCAAGACACAAAGGATGTTACACAATATGACAATGAGTGTCATGGTGGTTGAGACAATGGACAAGAGAAATGAAGACGTAAAGGAGGATTCATTTGATGACACAAATGGTACTCCTGTTTCAGTTTGAGTGTCGATACCTGCTTCTATGTAGGAGTGAATTTCAATTTGTCGGGTTTTTTGTCAGTTCGAAATTTGCTCCAGTATGTTTTCATTGAGTTTTGACTTGGCTCCGCTCGCACGTACTACCCTGTACCTCATATTTCATCATATCTATTTTTTATGATTAATATTCAACTCACATTCTTTACACAGCCATCAGCGTTATAAACAGATCAGGATCGCTGCATGTTATAGCAACGAAATTGTGCTGCGTCACACCTGGTACAGTTTCTAACAATATGAAATATATATCATCCTACCCAATGGATTGCACTCAATTCCTCCTATCGGACTTGCTGTTTCACTTCTCGACAACAGGGCATTGTGATTTTCCGTGCTTGTTCAGATTGCAGGGATATGATATTATAAAAGCATACGTGCGTAAATGGAACAAACTGTTTATGCAGTGCGACGTGCATGACAACAAAGTGATATATACGTATCAACGACACGCTGTAGTGGTTTTACTGAATAGTGAGTAGATGCTATGATTAAACTTCCACGCTAGAAATTAAACCAGCAACGAAATGAAACTGGTGGCGCGTGGTACTCGTGTTGGTTTTTCATAGTGGTAGGCGTATACGAACACAGGTTTTCTTCCAGTAGTACGTTTATAAAACAGGAAACTGTGTCACTCAGCTGCTGTTATGGTGATACAACATGGCAAGAACAGTACAACGCTGGCAGACAGTACATTGCAGTGATGTTCTTGATGATGGTCGTACTCTGATTTACCAGGGGATGACGACTGACGCCATACTGCCATGATTTCGTGATGATCAAATTTATATTATCCCGCGCACAGGCTTGTCCTCGTTCACAGGGTGGCGTTTTTAACCCGTAGTGTTTCCGGATCCTTCGCCAGCAGCAGGAAGATACAGAAACTACTGTTCCCTATCTTTGTAACTCATTTTATGACATTTTCAAATTTAGATCACTTGGTAGTAATATTTTTATGATGTCGATCGAGTGGGGAACATGTGTTCAATGAATAAAGAAAGATAAAGCTGACCTGTGCTGTAAATGGGTGTACAAGGGAGAGAGTATTTTTGTATATCAATCAGGGCATAAAACTTTTATTTTATCACGTCAGAATTAAGGTTCGTGGGGTGGGGTGGGGGTGGACATTATGGACAGCCTTACATGCGGCAAAAGATCCCTTGGCCCCATACTGCAAGGGTCGCCCGGATTTAATTCTTGACTGAACTGAACGTAGTTGTTCTTCCATGGCTAGCTCGCCAACCACATCTACCCCATTGTACAGCTGACGATGTCGTAGAGGGGACGTGTCTGGGCGTGATTTGGAAGTCATGTTGGTCGTATTCACCACAGTGAAAGGTCTGGTATCTATTAACCAACTTATGATAGCAATACCTTCTTCGTTCCTCTGAAAGCCGTGATCAAACATAATTAAAACACAATTATCACTTATTCATGACATATAATATACATTGCTGATTAATGAACAAACAAATAAACAAAATTATAAGCGCACAATCGCAAATCAAAAGTGCAATATTTTGTGCTTGGGTTTACTTCGGAGAGGGGTTTAATAAGTTGAAAGAACTTGTCCCCGATCCTTTTCACATTGTGAATAAAATATGTTTAAACTAACTAAACTTCCCTCGAAACGAAGCACCCGGGATACCGAACCCAGTCAGAGCGGGTGGGCGTGCGCTTAAGTGTAACGAAGCCTTTCATTGGCTGGTTCATTTGCCGACACAGTCTTTGTGTGTGTATAGAGATGTTGGATTTTACATGCTCATTTTTTGTGTATAACATTTTGCAATCAACAGACACCATGACATGTCATGTGTACAAGTATCACACCTGCCTGTCTGTGTAATTACATATTGTGACAGAGACAGAACTGGGGTGCACGAGCCATAAATCAAAGCGTTTTGTTTATGTTGTATAGCCTGATAGGTGTTAAGTTCAGATTGCATGTGGTCAGTGATCGAAGTTGTGTATTGCATATTGTCATTAGCAGACAGGCAGGCAGACACATATATGGGTGTCAATAAAACAGACATTGAGTTTTGTCTGTGACAGAGGCATATCTATATGACAGTTAGAAATTCTGACAATGCTAAATAATGACGTTGCTTTTAAGTATCGAACTGAGAAAGTGACTCGGCAAGAAGAACGTGTGGTGAAATAGTCAAATGAAATTATATAAACAGTTAAATCAATAATCTCCTGTCATAACATTTAAAAAGCTTGCGCCTGTGAAATATCAACAAAACATTAGAAAAATAGCTCACATCAAAGCATGCTCCGAGTACTCACCGCCAGCGAAAGTTTTCCGAATCCGTCTTGAAATGTCGAACGCCTCACTGGTTGACACATATCTGTGTACATCCAGATCCTTAACAAGGTTCTTTTATGTAACGAGTAGATTATTTACTATTTGTTGTTTGTGTACACAACCAAGATTAGACTACTCCTGCTCACCTTATAATCCGGACATCCCGCTTCCAAGCTGCGCGAACCTAGTCACTGCGCATGCGCCATAAGCGTAGTGCAGCACAGCTGTTGAAACCACTTTTCACCCCAGCTGGGGTGAATTTAGTGAATCGTTTGAACTCCGATTTCGCGGGGATCGCGTTTCAACTTCATAAGTTTAATTTTCACTTTTGATCATTTGTTACTGTAAGTCCATAGGTATCCGAATCTGCAAAGTTTTGTTTTACGTTGCATGTGACCTTTAAATAGGGCATACAATAAACTACCTTTATAACGAACTAATAGATATATTGACAGCAGACTAACTGACCATGTTCGTCAAACTTAAACTTGCCAAGGGTCACATTGATAACGAGAATCGGACATAATCCGGGACCAGTACTCGAGAGTATGCAACGTGAAATACAAACAGCCGTAAAGACAGATAAATGTATTGCCCCTTTCGTCCTATTAGCTTTAAGGATACTGGGCCCCTATTCTCGAAAGGATCCCAGCCCTAGGATATCCTAGCTAGGATCTGTAGTTCAAGTTAGGACAAAGATAGGGTCGTTTTGAGAATGTGTCTTATCCTAACGGTAGGATGTCCTATCTCCTATCCTAACTAGTTAGGATCTGTCTTAGCTGGGACACTTTCGAGAATAGGCACCCTGGTACCGGATTGTGTCAGATGCTCGTTATCAGTGTGGCCCTCTACTAGTGAGTCACTTAGCGAGTGAGTGAGTATGGTTTTACGCCGCTTTTAGCAATATTTCAGCGATATTACGGCATGGGACACAAGAAATGAATTCACATATTGTACCCATGTGGGGAATCGAACCCGGGTCTTCGGCGTGACGAGCGAACACTTTAACCACTAGGCTACCCCACCGCCCCTATTGCAATCCTACCTGATGGTAAATAACTGAACCCTTTAATTATTTGTTCATGTACAGTTCTTTTCAGAAATAACTACATGTTATATGTTCCTTTTTCTTTACAGCCTAATGTGTCCATTTCTTTCATATGTAACTGAAAAGTCATTTGTTAATAATACACATGCATACAATGTGGTTATGCAAATAGCTTATTTAGAACAAAGCGGATCTATCAGTTATTTGGGGGATTCCCAAATTCCAGCTTTGTTTCACATCTCTCAACAAGTGAGGTACATGTATATGCTTTTGCCAGATTTCCATCATGGCCAGGTGTGTAAATGGCTTTTTTCTTCAACAATGTATCTACAGTAGTTGGCCATAAGTGAGTCATCATTAGTGAAATTCCCATAGACTTGCATGTTGATTAACTCTTGCAAGAATAATTTTCATAAATTTAGTTTCGGTCGAATTGCTTTCAATACTTATCTACCAGCTGGGAAATCATCTCAGCTACATACACATAATTTCCATTCAATTTTCCGATGATTATTAAGAAAACAACATATCTTAGACATAGCAATCAGCTTTAACACGGCTGTCTATGGGATAGATTAAACGTTGTACGTGTGTGCATATGGCGCTTAATCAGGTGTCATTCGACAAACTAATCAACGGAAAGATGAAAGAAAAGTATGCACACGTAGCTGAAGATGATGATTTCAAGATGTTTGCAAAATATCAAAATAAAATGACTTCTACTCAATTTATAAAAATTATTCTTGCAACAGTTAATTAACATCTAAGTCTATGGAAATTCCACTAATGATGAGTCACTTATGGCCAACTACTACGTAGGTCATATATCATCCGAGAACTAATATATCATACACAAGGTAAGGAGTTTTCACTGTGACATGAAATACTGTTTAAGATTATCCGTATATATATCTTCCTCTCCAACTAATCTTCCTCTTGCCTCTTCAGTTTCTCCTCCATCACCTAGAGCTGTAGCCTTGCTCCAAGACTGTACTGAATGCTTGGCCCTTTGTATTGCAATTCTATCCTTTAAAGAGGCAAGTCTTGATTAGAGGACAGTAAGGACGCCTGTCTGTTAGAAGGAGATTTATATTTTTAGAAATTATCATATAAACTATAAATTATTACCAAAAGACTTGTGTTTGTCTATGAGAGCTGATGCACCCCTTCGTTTTCTTGAAGAACAGTTTTTCTGGTCCTTGGCAGCCCTGTGCTTAATTCCTCTGACCTGGTGTGTACAATGGATGTGTTCTCCCGAGCTATATAGACAAAGAATCTCATTCATTAACACATATCTGAGGACACCCATACAGGCCACGCCAGGGATTCACGTAACACACTTGTCTTGAAAACCCGTAAAGATCCGAGTTACAATTCATCTTCAGTAAACCATGCTTGTCGTAAGTGGCGAAGAACGGGATTGCTGAACTGTTCAACAGATTGCGAGTGGTATTGTACATCGCAAAATATTCATTTATAACGCAATCAAATGCATTTAATACAACAGCATGACAGTTCCGATCAATAAAATGGCACAACGCCGAATAGACTCGTCCTAGGATACGAATCTGTATTTTTGCTAGCGTACGCCTCTGTATCGAAACGTTCCTGGGGTAGGCCTACACGTCTGCAGTACCCGTGCCGATAACGACCCCTTCAGCCCGACTTGTAGCTAGCACCAAGGGTACTCACTACACAGATGATATATTTCAGCAGTAAACCCAAAATGATATTTCTTTTACCAGATTGACCCATGATCCACCGCCTTCTGGGCACACCACTCACATAGAAATTAATGACATTTTGAATTTGAAATTCCGATTTGTATAACTCATTTGGTCAACATTTTTGTTTGGCATTCTAGAAGTTGAGAGGATGAAGAATGAGGACAATTTTTGTGTATATACAACTTCTTTATTTTGTATATAGGCGACGTTTCGATATCGATTCTAATGTCGTTGTCAAGTCGTTGTCGCCACTGGCTTGACAACGACATTAGAATCTATGTCGAAACATCGCCTATACAGAATAAAGAAGTTGTATATAGGTCTACATAAAATAGTCCTCGTTCTTCATTTGGTTAAGACTGAAAAATCATGAAAGCATCTTTTATAAATTTTGTGCGACATCTCATTATGGACCAGCCGATTGATTGACCCATTCTACCACGAGTCGAGGTGATTAAAGGGTCGAAGTGGTGTATTGGACAAAGGAACGCTATATCTGGAACCAGCACCCTCCATTCCCTCTTCCACCGACAAAGGGGCGCGACCCACGGCAAAAAGGCCCCCCGGTTGTCCGATTTGGTCGCCTCAGTTACGACCAGCAATGGCCGGGGTGCACATTCTACCCCACATTCTACCACTGGAGACAAATTCTTACATCATTTTAGTCAGTTTAATTTATTACAATGGATAATAAATTCCAAACTATATAGCCTCCTAGCCCGAAGCGTCTATAAATAATCACTGACAACGTGCATAAATTTCACTGAATCAAGCCGAAATATGCTCGACACAGCCGCCTCAGTGTGCGCGTGGTCAGCTGGCTGTGAAGTCTTCTACAACAGTATCAACGGTAGACAACTGCTGCGTGGAGTTAGAAAACTGCCTTTCCGACAATGTGGAAGGATGGCTTCGGAAAGATGGGTTTACCAGCAGGTTTGTCAGTCAGTGTATATAAGTCTGTTAGTGATATTGATAGATATACGTAGGCACTTGGATGCTAAATGACTGGGTGCATGAATTAACTTGACCAGACCACGTCCATTTTGCGAAGATAACGAACCCCGCAATAACCTGAACCAGAGACCATATACCGGTATATGGTCTCTGCCTGAACCAAAAGTGATCGTGACACTGATGGTTCTATTGCACCAGATTACGAAATAAGAGTTAAACATGTACATTGTCATTGACACGTGTTTGGCATCTGTAAATGTCCGAAAATGCCCCTTTCTTAAGGCTTCGTAACTATGGCAACATTGCATTGATACCTAGAACAACGCACAAGGCTTGTCTAACCACGTTAATTATCACATAAATATGATGTCAACTACTGTACAAGAATTACAATGCAAGAAATAGATACGTTACAGTTTTTCAAATACCATGCTAATGATCAGATCATTCTGAACAAATTGATAACAACAGTCTTTCAAATAGGATTTGTAAGTGTTTATTCTACTTAAATGTTGAAGTATACTTATTTCTGATTGGTCAGTTGGAAGTGACCAAAATGTGTCGCGGCTACTGTATAATACTATACTATTTAAAGGACGTACATGTATGTCAATATATTTCTTGCAGGAAGCACCCATGTCTTCTTTTGGTGTGTTAGTTTTGTCAAATTCAATTTTTGCTTGGTTAAATCCAGGGATAAAGAGTGAAGTCACCTGTCATCATGTCCCATTAAGTGTGTTTATGTTTGCAATTTGCAGGTGATTCATGAGAGAGATTCAGTTAGCTTGAATTACACCTGTCATCTTGTCCAAGTGTCTTTGATATCAGCAGGTAAACAGTAATCTGTAGTGAGAGAGGATACAATATGTCTGACTTACACCTGTCATCTTGTCCAAGTGTCTTTGATATCAGCAGGTAAACAGTTAACTGTAGTGAGTGATTTTAGTTTTACACCGCACTCGGCAATATTACAGTGAGTGAGTGAGTTTGGTTTTTCGCAGCTTTTAGCAATATCCCAGCAATATCACGGCTGGGGACACCAGAAAATGGGCTTTACACATTGTACCCATGTGGGCCAGGTTTTCGGTGTGTCGAGCAAACACTTTAACCACTAGGCTACCCCATCGCCCCTGGCAATATTCCAGCTATATGGCAGTGGTCTGTAAATAATCAAGTCTGGGCCAGACACTCCAGTGATCAGCAGCATGAGCATCGATCTGCGCAGTTGGGATACAATGACATGTGTCAACCAAGTCTGCAAGTTTAACCACCCAATCCCATGAGGCGCCTCTTACGACAAGCAGGGGTTATGGCAGATCAATTTTAACGGGTCGTTTTCTGTAGTGAGGAAGGGTACAGTATGTTTGACTAACAACTGTAATATTGTCCAAGTGTGTTTGTGTCTTTGTGAGCTGAAGTTAAATGTAACTTATCCAAATAGAGGGTATTGTCCATCACAAAACAGACACACTAGTCTAAACACATCATGTTTTCTTTCCATGTTAGCGTTAATATATTCTGTCCTAGTGTCAGTGAAGTGCTGCCTCTGTCGGTGTACTCCCAACTGTGACTGCAATGAATACACTATGAGGTGAATATGATACGTATCACGAATAAGCGATTACCAGTATATATATTTATTCACGAGTACCTTATGTGTAATATAAAGGGAGTTAAACTATAAAAAATAACTTGTAATGTTTGACAAGATACATCTCAGTGAAGTCAACAAGCAATACATCACAACAATGCTGTTATTTGCCTAATGTTTAATTTGACTGTAATGTAAGTGGCCTTGGCAAATTGACATGAGTACTGTATGGCTTGTACATCTTCCATTTTGCATATCTTACTTATATATGTAACAGATAAAATTCAAGTACAAACACCCTTTCTTAAAAATAAACATAATAAATATTCAGTTCTAGTGCACTGTTCACGAATGGCGTTGGACCCACTGACAAATCCTGTAGATTTCGTCCTGTGAATTTTCAATGGGTCAGACACCCTATTTTCCATCTCTAAGATTAATATTTTGGTGTTGATGAGAACATTCTGGTAATTTGTTGAGATCCCGGCTTGTCAGTACCGACTTAAGCTCCTGTAGTCAATGGCAACTCCAAATTTGTTTGTAAACAGTTGTATCTAAATGTCCTATGGATATATGTTATCTGTACTGACCCCACTAATATCTCTTAGCTTAATCCTGCTGGGAGACCTACCCATTATAGGATAAAATGATGGGATGATCTGGTATAGTTGACTAAAACCTGGCATCTTGTCCAAGTATCTTTGATAGCAGCAGGCAAACAGTTATCTGTAGTAAGGGAGGGGAGGAATCAGTATGTTTGACTGACTGACACCTGTCATCTTGTCCAGGTGTGCTTGATATCAGCAGGTAAATGGTTATCTGTAGTAAGGGAGGATACAGTATATTGACTGAGACCTTTCATCTTGTCCAAGTGTCTTTTGTATCAGCAGGTAAACAAATATCTAATCCTCTGGTCAAAGTGTGTTTGATATTCGGCAGGTAAACAGTGAGGTGAAGTGAGGAAGGATACATTTTGATTGACTCACACCTGTCATCTTGTCCAAGTGTCTTTTGTATCGGCAGGTAAACAAATATCTAATCCTCTGGTTCAAGTGTGTTTGATATTCGGCAGGTAAACAGTGAGGTGAAGTGAGGAAGGATACATTTTGATTGACTGACACCTGTAATGTTGTCCAAGTGTGCTTGATATCAGCAGGTAAACAGTTTTCTGAAGTGAGGGAGGATACAATATGTTTGATTGACACCTGTCATCTTGTCCAAGTGTCTTTGATATCAGCAGGTAAACAGTTATCTGAAGTGAGGGAGGATACAGTATGTTTGACTGACACCTGTCATCTTGTCCAAGTATCTTTGATATCAGCAGGTAAACAGTTATCTGAAGTGAGGGAGGATACAGTATGTTTGACTGACACCTATCATCTTGACCAAGTATCTTTGGGGCGGTGGGGTAGTCTAGTGGTTAAAGCGTTGGCTCGTCACGCCGAAGACCCGGGTTCGATTCCCCACATGGGCACAATGTGTTAAGCCCATTTCTGGTGTCCCCCGCCGTGATATTGCTGGAATATTGCTAAAAGCGGCGTAAAACTAATCTCAGTCAGTCAGTCAGTCCAAGTATCTTTGATATCAGCAGGTAAACAGTTTTCTGAAGTGAGGGAGGATACAGTATGTTTGATTGACACCTGTCATCTTGTCCAAGTATCTTTGATATCAGCAGGTAAACAGTTATCTGACGTGAGGGAGGATACAGTATATTTGACTGACACCTGTCATCTTGTCCAAGTGTCTTTGTTTTTGATATCTGCCTGTAAATTGAATTACCTTAATCTATCATGGTAGGATGTTGTGTATGTGATGTCACCTGAGATATGTTTTTCAGCAATAATGTTTTCGACTATTATTATTGATATATATCTAGAGTGTAGTTCTAACTCTTTGTTTACTGAAAAAAGAAACATCAGCGCTAATACTTCATCCATTGATATCAGGATATATCTATAACATAATATCACAGGTGAATAGATAATATAGTCATATCAGCGTTTTGTTTGCATTATTGATATGTCTGTACATATGATACACCAGTGATCCTTTCAAGCTGTAAATGTAATTATGATTAAAACACAAATAGATATTAACATCCCAATTTTATTAAGATGAAATGGCAGTTTGAGGACTTTATAGCCTTTATTTATTGACACCACAGTAGGTTTTTCAGCTATATGACAAATGTTATTACTTATCATTTAAGGGGCGGTGGGGTAGCCTAGTGGTTAAAGCGTTGACTCGTCGTGCCGAAGACCCGGGTTCGAATCCCCACATGGGTACAATGCGTGCAGCTCATTTCTTGTGTCCCCTGCCTTGATGTTGCTGGAATATTGCTAAAAGCACGTAAAACCAAACTCACTCACTCACTCACTTATCATTTAACATCAGAGAATTTTATTGTGATCACCAAATACATGAATATTAGTGCAGTGTGTACGTGATCATTGAGTTGTAAGTGTAATACACAAATATGACTCCTACGACTACATGTATGAGTGGTCAATATTTTGGGTGGCTAAGCAGACCAGATACCAGCGTATAAGTGTAGTAGTGGAGGAGTTGGCTGTACAAACCACTGAAAGTCAGACCTAATTACCACTAACAGGGACCTACAATACAGTGAGTGAGTGAGTGAGTAGGGTTTTGCATTACTTTTAACAATATTTTAGCAAAATCACTGTTAGGGACACCAGAAATGGGCTTCACACATTGTGGGGAATCGAACCCAGGTCTTCAGTATGACGAGTCAACACTTTAACCACTAGGCTACGCCACAGCCCCCTGAAATCCATGGCAGTTCAACTGACAGTCACAAGTTAGCATATATTTAGTGTTATTAGGATGTAAGCACCACTTGCAGGGGGAATTCAGCTGACATGGAACAAGTAAAACAAAAAATACCCTCATGATTTTTTATCTGATGTTATTTGAGAATATTAAGATCTTTTGTTTCCCAAGATTGTTCCTTGCTAAAAGGGTATCATGTTACAAGGGATATCTGCTCATTCTATCCACCACTGGTGTGTCTCTAACTGGTTTGCATGCCCCCTAAGATAGAGTTGGAATGTGGCAGAAGTAATAGTAACAAGGGTGAGGTCAGATGTGAAAAAACCATTAACGCTTAGTCTCTCAATAGACATAGTTTTGATTGTAACAAATAAACCAATTTAAATTGAAAAGGAGCCCCAGTGAGATTGGAGATTGAGAACCTGAGGAAATCTAGACTTCCCTTCATTTGGGGCATTAGCATTGCAGGAAGCGCAAGGCTGTAGGGAAAATAATGTAGTTCAGGGACTGAGACTACATTTTTCTTAATGTATTTTTGAATGTTTCATGTGGAAAGGTTCTTCAAAATATCGTTCTGTTTGATTAACTACTGAAG